TATTTAGGCAATGCCTAAGCTATAGTTTCCAACTAGGCGACCATACCCATTATATGTACTCATGTTTGGCCTTTAACCAATCAATGTCATTCACATGTACCAAACAAAATTAGGCAAGATAAGAGAGTAATGAAACCAAAACCTTTTCATTATCATAAGTGAATGTTTGAATGACTTAAACAAATCAAATCAAATCAAAGCATAAAGCTTAATACAAAATCAGAATGTCGAAATCTCCTTTTCTTAGTCAATGGACATACCGTCCAGACCATCTGATGTCTTGGGCACGGTCACATTGGAGTCAATAGACAAGCCGGCCACACCACTTATTACTTTGGTCATGGCCACAATGTGTTCCTCATTGCCTACCTCGACCATGTTGGCTTCTGAAGGTCTCATCTCACTGCCTTGCTTTAGCATCTTATTATGCTTCTCAAATCTCAATAGGCATGTAAGCAATTCAGCATAGGTGGTGAAACCTTTTTGTATATGACTTAACATATCCTGGACATATTTTGAGTATGTCTTGAACAGCAAATCCTTGTATGTTACCTCTTCACCACATAGTCTTAGTTTGTGAGTGATTTGGGTCAAAGCCAAATGATATTGCTCCACAGACTCAAAGTCTTGGAGTCTAAGACTCATTCATTCATGCCTGACCTTTGGTAATAACACCATTTTGTATCTGGATTCCAATTCTATCCAAAGGTCATGAGGATTTTCTATATGTAGGTACTGATTTCTCAGATCCTCAGTGAGATGTTGGCGCATAAATGTTATGGCCTCATGTTTTTCCTTTTCAGTTGCATCATCCTGAATGATACTCCATTCGAGTCCTCTTGATGCCAATGCAACTGATATGTTCATTTCCCATTCGAACCAATTTTCTCCAGAGATATTTTGGACATCATAATTCCCATATTTCGACATCTGAAATCATATGATCGATCAGATTTTAGTTCTCATAAAATTTGCAAGTCCTGAACAAGCAATTTAAGTGCATGGTTCCTTAATGATCTCGACCATATCATACCACCAAAGGTGTGAGAACTTACAAGTGGTCGAGATCTAACCAGCATGGTCAAGCAATTCACCATAATTGCAATATCAATCAACCAAATGATTTTAGGAATACTAGTAACCATAGAATTCTATAGACCATAAATAAATCAGATCACAAAAAAATAATGCAGTCATTCTTAGCATATTAATTCTAGTTAGAACATGTGATCAATCAACCAAAATCTCAAGTGAAACCGTAATTTAGAATTAGGTTAAACAATTATCAAAATCAAACAACCAATTTAGGGTTTTAAAATATTTTGGTCGATTTTATTCAAAGTGGAAACCCAAAATTTTTCATTCACAACCTAACATCAGATTTCTTATTCACAATACTACCAGTGTGATCATGCAATCATGGAAAAATAAATAAAAAAAACAAGCATTGCAAGCTTCCAAGAAATCGGATCTTTATAAAATAGGTTTTAGGGTTTCAAAGTTTGAAAATTTGAATGCAAAGGTTTTGCTTCTAAAAAAAATTCATTCAATCAACACATAGTCTCAAGATGATCAGTTTTACCTTATAAACTATCAAGACTTATCAGGTTTGGTCGATTTTATTTTTAGAACAAAACCTAAACCTAGTTGGATTAGGAATTTCAAAACTAGGGTTTTCAAACAATTCATCAAGTTTGGTTCTAAAATAAATTTAGCAAAACAACCACATAGTCTCAGGTATCTCAGTTTCCATGTTTAAACTAGCAAGACATGTTAGAAGGTGGTCGGATTTATTTTAGTGCAAGTCCTAAGTCAAATAGGATTTTAGTGCAATTCCTAAACCTAGTAGGATTATGACCAAAACTAGGGTTTTCAAATTTTTTTTTTTTTTAAAATTCCGAATCATGCAACCAAGCAAGTACACATTACAAGCAATCAACAGGTTCATGAGATCATCAAATATCAAGCAAAGATCATAAGAATTTCAATTTTTAGGTTAGAGATCTAAGCAACTCGGAATTAGGGTTCATGTGCATAGGGTTTTAACAAAACAATTCATTCAACCATGAAACCAATGAACCTAGCACTCGTTTTTAATTTTAAACACAACTAGATGGATCATATTATCATTCTAGAACAAGCCTAGGTCGTGCAATTTACCAGGAACAGATCTAAAAATTTAAACAACTTAGATGTATGTTCATGCGCATAGAAAACAATTAGGGTTTTAGCAATTTTAATCAATTCAACCATTCAGCCAATCAGCCTAGCATTCAAACTCAATGTTAAAGACATCTAGATGGATCATATTAGTATATTAAAACAGACATAGGTCGTGTAATTAGCAAGATCAAATCTAGGGTTTTTAACAATCTCAATACCAATTCAAGTGTATTAGGGTTTTAGCAAACTATCAATTTGATTCAAGCAACCTATGAATCTAGCATTCGACCTCAATGTCATAAGCAATCAGATAGTCCATATTAACATGCTAAAACAAATTTAAAACACGAAAACATCCAAGTTATAGCTAGGGTTTTAAGCAAGTCGGATTTCAGGTTCATTCGCAATTAGGGTTTATATCAAAACGATTTCTAAACCTCAGATCTAATCATTCAATTTGTCAAACAAACACATAGTCCCAGGGTGATCAAGTATTAATAAGAGTTCATCAGATCTATAGCAGCAAGAACGAATTGGATCAATCAAAACAACCAATAACAAATCGATCCTAGAGAGAGACAAAACAAGCCGGTTTTATGTCTTAGCTATCTAGGGTTTTAGATTATCAATTTGCTCAAACTCAAAACACGAAATCTATCAAGGTGAATTCCTAAAGCATTCAACATAATTAACTTGATAAAAATAAGCAAGCAAAACGGATCAAAGCAAGCATAGATTTCGGGTTCATTAATTAGGGTTTTAGGTTAACTTTTGTTCATGAATACAAGTTTGTATCCATGTACATAGTTAGGCTTTTTAGGGGTTTAATTTTACTTCTCAAACATACCAAAACATCATAGTTTTAAGGGGGGTCGAAACTTATGTTTAAGAGTTTAAGTTTCATACCTCAAATCTCCTTGTTTTTGAATGGACCTCCATTAGGGCAAAACCGGTTTGGATCTTTAGGAGAGAGAGAGATCGAATCACTTTAATCTTTTAGCTAAGGCTTTACACCTGCAAAAGAATAGTTAGCAAGGGATTTCTTCTTCAAAATAACGTAATAGATTAAGGAAGAAATAAGGTGTGAGGCGTTGAGTAAGAGAGAAAATCTCTAGGGTTTCCGGATTGGAAAAAACAGAAATTTAGCCGCCGTCTTGTTTTGGTGATTCCGGTTGATTCCTATGTCTGATTGACGCGCTGCTTGATCTTCTGGATTCCTCTCTTCAAGAGCTTCAAATTGGTATGTAGATCGTCGTCTAGTTCCTCGTAGTTTGAGAGATACGTCAATTTTAAGTTGCTGCAGGGATTAGGGTTTTCTGCAGCCGCCAAGAGAGAGAGAGAGCTACGGATTTTTGTGCTAGGGTAGAGCTCGTGCTGATAACGTGTTGTGGAATAAAGAAGGTTGTTGTAACTCTATTGTATGTATTATTAATCACGTGGTTACAACCATACATATATATACAAGAGAATAAAGCATATTCCTTAGGAGATAAGGATTACAACAATAAAGGGGATGATTATCCTAATCCTATAATGATTAGGATAACTACAACATATGGATAAATACAAGGGAGGATAAAGACAAGTCTTGGCCGCCTAGTCTTGGGACTGAAGTGAGACTGATGTGGTCTGGTCCATTTCCGGATATGTCCCAACCACCATTTCTCAACAATATTATTTTTTTTTAAAAAATAGTTATTTATAGTATTTAATTATTATTATATTATTTAATAAATATCTGCAGATCTAACAAATTACCCGCAAAATTAAGTGGGCGGATGCAGATAAAATATTTTTTTTTGGGGGTAAGGCGGGTCGGGCGGGGCGAGTTTGACTCGCTTCCCAGCACCAAGCTTAGTTAGTTATTATTTTCCAAATTAAAACTACACAATTACATACAATACATTTACAGAGATATTGATGATAACAATAAAATCTACATTAATTTTCTTAGGTTATATTAGATATTGACATTTTATATCACAAAAGTAAAAGATTATGTAGATAAAACAAAAAAAATGGTATTCACGTTTTTTAAACACGGGTCAAAAATCTAGTGATTTCTTATTTGTTAGTACTTTAAAAAATCTTACACAATCACCCAAGCACACATAATATGAGAAACAAATGAATGAAAAATAATACATAAAACTCATTTGAGTTACAAAGACAATGCCAATAAACTTATTCACGAATTAAAAGAATCAGTAATTTAAGTGCACACTGCAGGAACACCTTGAGGAAACCTTCTCTTATCGGTGCAATAGTTGTAGATCATGTACTTACTCTGTGCCCATTTCATTTTTTTTCTGACATTCCAAAACAACTTTTTGAGTGAACCATGGAGAATTCCCAGGGCAAGATGATTTTCCATTAGCCCAAACACATCCTTCCACATTGTAGTTTCTGTAGAGAGCAGAGAAAGGAGCTTTAGACCAATCTGTTTTCTCCAATCCTCCCCTTGTGGCCCAATGCTCGGCTTCCCAAAGGCTCGCATAGAGCCTCATTGGTTGGTTCTTTGGGAAAGGAACTCCCATCGATTCCGTGTTCTTGAACTCTCTAATAGGAATCCCATCAACTGTAAAACTGGAAGAGAGGAAACAAAAGAGAATCATTAGGAATCCAACATTGAAAAATGTATCAAGACCTAGAACTATATCTAAAGGACATGTGATATTCTACTAATTTTCCATTGATTTAGTTGTACGTCCATGAACCTTAGCAATACGTTCATGACACTATAGTCCATATAAGATCAATGTACAAGGGATGGTAGGATGTGCTTACATAATCCTTTGTGGATTCCATGTGATGCAATAAGTGTGAAAATTAACGGTTGGGTCAACCATAGATGAAACTGTTGTTCTTTGTCTCCAGAGCCTTGTGTGTAAACATTAGTATGAAGAGTATACGGATGGCCACTTATGTTTCCTAAGAACTCAAAATCTATCTCATCCCAAGTAGTTCCCGGCGATTTAAGATACACAAAGTCATCATAAAACACCAACATACTAATCAATTATTTGTAATCAAGTCAACAAGAAAATATGCTTTGAAATTATATGTTACTTACGTAGAATGTTGTGACTGTTCCAGCAGACTTTCTAGGGACAAGTTTCATTTGAACCTCGACTTTACCGTAAAGAAACTCTTGGTTGGATTGAAAACCTGAACCGGAGGATTTGTCGAGTGAGAGAGAAAGAACCTTTCCATCTCTATCACGAATCTTTCCACGGCTATCACCCCAATGTATCTGGACGTCTTTGTGGAAGCTACCAGCCTAGACAGCCACAGATTGTGCTGTAAATAAAAAGAGAGCCAAGAAGGAAAATCTTGTGCCGCAAGAAAACTTCATGTTTTGTAGATGATGTCTTAGATATGTGTGTTTGTTGACTGAATATGAGGTGAGTGATATGAGTTTATATAGCTGCTGGAAAATGGCAAGGGAAAAAGAGAAGGAAGTTTCATGGGTTTGATTATTTGATCGTGTTCTTTATTCTTGTTGGCTCATTCGAACTCTTGTTGGTTGTTACACAAAGAATCCAATAAAATATATTTTGATTACTCGTTTATTGTTATAAACCAGAGAAAATAATGTACATACATGGACAATTTGCATATTATATTCGGCCACTGAAAGTAATAAAATCATGATTCGACTTTTGACATAAGCGCAAACCCTCCCCACCGCATAGAGCGTTTCAAATATAGAAATATTTACATTTAATAATATACTCTTTCTACTACTTTTATTTGTCCTAATGGTAATTTGTTATTATGGGTTTTGTGCTGACATTATATGTTCACCACAATTTGTGAAAAACATGTGGTATATATTCACATTTAAATTGTTGCATAAGAACATATTTCGATCCAGATGAAATGGCACCTTCAATGAAACCACTAGTTAAACTAATTCACAAAATAAATTCACTTTCTCCGGGTAAGAATAATAAAACAAGTGATAAAGGTTTTTAAGCCTCAAGCAAATCAATGTAGTATTTAATATTGTCGAACCACAGAGAACTAGTGATCTAAATACTAAGAATACACAAAATTTCCTAGTCTAAGCAAATAAGAGAGGTGGATGATTGTAACAAACTAAGATCCTATAAATATAAACAAAGGTGATCTCAAATCCAATCAAGAAATAAATGCAAGAACACTTTCAACCAAATGATAAGGTAAAATCCATGGGATTAAGGCAATTGATCTAAAGCAATTAAAGTTTCAATCAAAATGTTCCTTAAGCCTAAATATCTGAACTAAACAGATTTTAGGTTTAGACAAATGCTCATTTGTTTTCATTAATCAAACACAAATGGTCATTGGCTTAATTAATTCAAACAATCATTAAGAATATGTTTAATAACTATCTAAGACTCCTAGATACAAATGGTCATTGGCTAGGTAGTCTTAAAGCTAAGGAGAGTTGGTAGTCATTTAAACATACACCTTGTGGGCAGAAAATGAGTAAGGTTCAATCCTACAATGACCAAGTCTAGAATAGCATTAAACACACTCTACTAGCAAGGAAACACTTAGATCTACACTTAATCACCCTAGATCTACCTAACCCATGAATTCTAAAAATGTCTACTCTCTAATCTCCATGAGAAACCTTATATCCATGATGGATTCAAGGCTAATCATGTTAATGAGAATGAGAAATAATATATAATATGAAATACTTCCTTAAAATGATATAAAGTTTCAAACTTTTACAATTAGAAACAAATTCTTGAGAGAAAATGAGATACATTAGGATTTTTGGGGTCTAAAACATTATATAGAGAAGTGCCATTCGAGTTGGTTTGACCAGATTAAACCAGGTCAAACCAAAATAAACCGGTCAAACCTTGCAAATTGAAATTCACCGCAGGTTGACTTTCCCTGCGATCATTGGTCGCGATCATCTTCTCAGTTTCGCGGTTTCGACTTCCCGCGGTGTCACCCGCGAAATTTGCCTGGTTGTTTAGTCGACGCTTGGCCGCGGCTGGCTCCGTCCCGCGGTGGTTAACCTGCGCCGTCAGTTCGTCTTGGATAAGCACCATCTGCAACTCTTCAATCTTGCCATCCCGGAGCTTCACCCGACCATCGATTCATCTCCAAAATCGAACTCGCTGTTGGTTAAGTGGGTTGTAACCCAGAAATTTGTGTATTATATACTTGGATAATGATTGAATCGCGTACGAGGTCACTTTTCTTAAAGAGTATTTCGACCCTATTCTAAACCTTTGGGTTACACGAAATCCCTTTGTAGGATAAGACAACCAAAGTCTCACTCTTGTTCTAGGTTAAGATACAAGAGAAACAAAAAGAAGTTTTAGTGTTTATATGTGTTCTTCAAAGATCTTTGATGATCTTTAAACAATGAATCTATTTCTCTCTTACTATCTTACTAACTACTTGTTTCTGATTTTTTTCTATCTCATTTGCCAATGTCTACATCCTTTTATATAGAAAATGAAAGGTTGCAACCAATAGTTGCAATGGTTAAAACAAAGAGTTGCAAAGGTTAATGAAGAGTTGCAATGGTTAGTTAAGGAGTTGCAATGGTTAATTACCAAGGGTTACAATCATAAAGTTAGTTATTACCAAAGATTGCAATTATCAATGGTTAATCACCAAGAGTTGCAATCATAAAGGTAATTATTACCAAAGGTTGCCATTACCAAAAGTTGCAAGGTTTCATTTAAGTAGTTGTAATTGTTCATAAAAATTGCAATGGTTCAAATAAACACTTGCACCCTTTCACATTCACTTAAATATATAACAATCCTCACCCATTTAAGTGTAATCATAGATTCATTAAATAAATAATACATATATCAAACTCATGCATAATTGAAAATGTTCGAATAATTGAATTTTCATCTTAGTGTATTACACATTCCAAATATTCGAGAATCAAGATGTCCGACGGATTGAATCCATCAACCCATTTTGAACACATGAAGATAATACACACACGTGTTTCCACACTACTCTAAATGTTATACTTGACACTATTATAAGCCATGTGTCCCTATCCATTCATGAGCGCATACAAAGCCAAGTCCCAGCTTATTGAAGCGGCATCACTTCACACTCATATAGGTAAATACTTTCAGTCATGCACCTGCAAATGCATTTTTCAAAGTATTTATTAAGAATATATTTCAACCTAACTCTTCTTGCAGGTCCAAACACATACTTTGGGATTAAAAAAAAATGCTTCAATCTTTAAGTGTAGGCTTTCCACATTGAATTCAGCCTCTAACGTCGTATTAGAGGGGAATTGGATATCCCACCATTAAAGATTTCAAATGGACTTTAAACCCATCCCTTTCACAGACTTAATCACTAAGTCCCTAGATAATCCTTTCGTCAAATGATCAGCTAAATTTTGTTGAGACCGAACAAACTCTATTGTTATCACCCCATGAGTGATCAGCTCACGTACTGCGCTATGTCTAACGCCCAGGTGTCTAGACTTACCATTATACACTTGGCTATAGGCCTTAGCCAAGGTAGCTTGACTATCACAATGTATAGAAATCGGTGATACTGGTTTCGGCCACAATGGAATTTCGTACACTAAATTTCTTAGCCACTCTGCCGCTTTACCGGCAGCTGCTAATGCTACAAATTCCGATTCCATAGTCGAACTTGTAATGCAATTTTTCTTCTTAGAAGCCCATGAAATGGCACCTCCCCCAAGCAAAAACACCCAACCACTTGTAGAAGAATGATCTTCTATGTTGGTAATCTAACTTGCATCTGAATACCCTTCTAACACTGAAGGAAATCCGGCATATGACAAACTATAATTAATGGTTCCTTTCAAATACTTGAGCACCCTTTTTAAGGCTTGCCAATGTTGAGTACTGGGATTACTATTGTATCTACTCAACTTTCCTACAGCGTAAGCTATATCTGGCCTGGTGCTCGTCATGGCATACATTAAGCAGCCAATCACTTGTGAATACTCGAGTTGAGATACTGCTTGTCCTGTATTAGGCATAAGCTTCACACTCGGATCCATGGGAGTGCTTATCGGAGAACAATTATCACAATTGAACTTCTTAAGAACTTTCTCAATGTAGTGAGATTGTGTTAAAGACAGTCCTTTGTTTTCACGTTTGATTCTAATTCCAAGAATCACATCTGCCTCTCCCATGTCTTTCATTTCAAAATTTGATGACAAAAATACTTTTGTAAGCTCTACTTGTCTAAGGTCAGTACCAAAGATCAACATGTCATCAACATATAAACAAATGATTACTCCGTTNCTTTCTCAATGTAGTGAGATTGTGTTAAAGACAGTCCTTTGTTTTCACGTTTGATTCTAATTCCAAGAATCACATCTGCCTCTCCCATGTCTTTCATTTCAAAATTTGATGACAAAAATACTTTTGTAAGCTCTACTTGTCTAAGGTCAGTACCAAAGATCAACATGTCATCAACATATAAACAAATGATTACTCCGTTGCCGGATTCATCAAATTTGCTATACAAACACTTATCAAATTGGTTTAAATTGAAACCATTTGATAAAACAGCCTCATCAAATCTTTGATGCCACTGTTTAGGTGTTTGCTTTAGCCCATACAATGATTTGATCAACTTACACACCTTTTGCTCATTGCCAGGCATAACAAAACCTTCAGGTTGCTTCATATACACCTCTTCTTCCAAAATACCATTTAAGAACGCCGTCTTAACATCCATTTGGTGAACCACTAGGTTATTAATTGCTGCCAAAGCTATTAATAATCTTATAGAAGAGATCCTAGCAACTGGAGCATATGTATCGAAATAATCAATACATTCCTTTTGTTTAAAGCCTTGAATAACCAATCGAGCTTTAAACTTGTCGATTGTTCCATCAACTTTCATCTTCTTTTTGAAGATCCATTTGCAGCCTAAAGGCTTGCAACCGGGTGGGAGATCCGACATGATCCAAGTATTATTTCCCATGATGAAGTCCATCTCATCATTTATTGCTTCTTTCCAAAAAGCAACATCTTGAGACTTCATAGCCTCACTATAAGTTCTTGGATCATTATCAATATGATAACAATATGAGTGTTAGAAATCAATTTAATCTCTTGATCCTTCAACTAAATATATTTGAAAATCAAGACCAAATGATTTTTCAATCCTTCCTCGCTTGCTCCTACGAAGAACATGTGACAAGTTAGGAGACACAAGAGTTTCATCTCCTTTATTAGTTCCACTTGAACTTGGATCTAAAGTCTTTGGCATATGTATAGACGAAAACCGAGTTTCATCAATATTGCATCTCGTGATTCGATCACAGTGTGAACTGCTATTGAATCATTAGGTTCTATTACATAAAACCTATAAGCTTTGAAATGCTCTGCATATCCAATAAAAATGCAATCAATATCTCTCTCTCCCAAAGTTTTAATTTTGGGTTGGGATAGTCTCACTACAGCCCTACATCCCCACACTCGAAGATAATTCAAGTTGGGTTTTTTCTTATACCAAAGTTCATAAGGGGTAAGTTTGTTCCTTTTATTAGGAACTCTATTTAACAAATAGCAAGCCGTTAACATAGCTTCTCCCCAAAATCCGTCACTCAATCCCGAGTAGAATAACATGGAATTAACCATTTCTTTTAGGATTCTATTTTTCCTTTCTGATACACCATTTTGTTCTAATTCTTTTTTGTTAGCATGCAAGTACTACATTTTTCTAAATCTATATCAAAAGTATGAATCAACCCTTCTTTAGACATATTAATCATACGATTATAATGAACATGACCTAATCTAGCATGCCATAGAAAACTATCATTTTTGCTAGAACTTGCCATACAAACAGAATTGATAACTTTATTAATTTTATTAATATTAAGCATAAACATTACATTACAGAAATATCCAAATCCAACAAACACACCACATTTTGATAATATATACTTATCGGATTCATATACTTGTTTAAAACCACAATTATTTAAAACACTACCAGAGACTAGTTTTTCCTAATTCCGGGTACATGAAGTACATCCTTGAGATTAAGGGTTTTTCCAGAACTAAACTCTAACACCACTTTTCCACGGCCTAGGATAAGGGCAGTTGACTCGTTTCCCATATGAAGTACGGATCCATCTTGAACTTGCTCCTATGTAATGAACCATTCTCGATCTCTGCAAACATGTGTTGTTGCGCCCGAGTCAATCCACCATGCCACTTCATCATCCTTGATGAGTGGATGGACCTTGGTCCTTAGACCCTTGTCCCAAATGGTTCTGTCCCGTTTTATTCTTATCCTTTACTGCTCGGCAATCACGACTTAAGTGACCCGGCTTGTTACAATTCGAACAAATGCTCTTAAACTTTTTGTTAGATCCATTGTAAGTGTTGCTATTAGAGGAGCGTTTCCTCCAATTTTTCTTCTTAGAAATCACACCTTCCTCCATCATATTGATGGAAGAAGTACCAGCCTCATTATTTTTGGGTTTTTCTCCCTCTTGCGCCCTTAGAGATTCCTCTATGCGCAAATGGCTGCCAAGTTGTACAAGAGACAATTCTTCCTTTTTGTGTCTTAACATGTGTTTAAAATCTTTCCATGTAGGTGGTAACTTATCGATGATACTCGATACTGAGATGGATTCATCCATCATCATGTTGTGTTGGGAAAATTGACCTAGTATACGAAGCAATTCATTGTATTGCTCCATAACTGGCCTAGAATCAGACATCTTGTAATTATTAAAATTACTAACAAGGAACTTCTTACTAGANGTAGGTGGTAACTTATCGATGATACTCGATACTGAGATGGATTCATCCATCATCATGTTGTGTTGGGAAAATTGACCTAGTATACGAAGCAATTCATTGTATTGCTCCATAACTGGCCTAGAATCAGACATCTTGTAATTATTAAAATTACTAACAAGGAACTTCTTACTAGAAGCATCCTCAGCCATGTACTTTGATTTTAATGCATCCCACAACTCTTTTGCGCATTCGACATTCTGATAAACATCAAAAAGAGGATCTGACATACCGTTGAGAATATGGCCACGGCAAATGTAATCATCATTTTCCCATTTAAGTTGCTTCCTTGTCTCATCCAAAGACTCATTCTCAACATCCTCCGGCACAATAGGCATAGGCATGCTTAGAACATACACTACATTCAGATTTGTGAGAAGAAAATGCATTTTCTTTTGCCATCTTCTAAAGTCTATTCCTTCAAATTTATCTAACTTTCCAAACTTTGATGTCATCTCTCGCACTGATACACCAGCCATAATTCACAAGAAAAATACTCTTTAAGATTGTTGGTTAAGTGGGTTGTAACCCAGAAATTTGTGAATTATATACTTGGATAATGATTGAATCGCGCACGAGGTCACTTTCCTTAAAGAGTATTTCGACCCTATTCCAAACCNTGGGTTACACGAAATCCCTTTGTAGGATAAGACAATCAAAGTCTCACTCTTGTTCTAGGTTAAGATACAAGAGAAACAAAAAGAAGTTTTAGTGTTTATATGTGTTCTTCAAAGATCTTTGATGATCTTTAAACAATGAATCTATTTCTCTCTTACTCTCTTACTAACTATTTGTTTCTGATTTTTTCTATCTCATTTGTCAATGCCTACATCCCTTTATATAGAAAATGAAAGGTTGCAACCAATAGTTGCAATAGTTAAAACAAAGAGTTGCAAAGGTTAGTTAAGGAGTTGCAATGGTTAGTTAAGGAGTTGCAATGGTTAATTACCAAGGGTTGCAATCATAAAGTTAGTTATTACCAAAGGTTGCAATTATCAATGGTTAATCACCAAGGATTGCAATCATAAAGGTAGTTATTACCAAAGGTTGACATTACCAAAAATTGCAAGGTTTCATTTAAGTAGTTGTAATTGTTCATAAACAATTGCAATGGTTCAAATAAACACTTGCACCCTTTCACATTCACTTAAATATATAACACTCGCTCCGTCGTCAAGCTCTTTCACCTCAGTCTCAGGTCTAGCTTCGTCCGGCGTCTTCAGTTCATCCCGCCGTGGTAGCCGCCGGAATCGTCGTCGAGTTCTTCCTCCACAGCCGCACAAGCTCCAATCCTCATCGTGCTCGTCTCCTCCTCTACGCCATGCTCTCATCTCCAATCCCGTGGCCGTGCTTTGCCTCGCCATCATCAGAATCAACCTCGCCGTCGAAATTTGGAGTCACGACATCTCGTGAGACAGCAATGGCCACTTTTCGTCTATTTGCACATGTGGTCCTTCTTCTTTAGCATAATCTTAAATTTGCCCCAATCCTTGGTCCCTGAACTTTTGATAACTTCGTTTCTGACCCAGGATTTCCACAATGTGAAAATTTAACCATTGATTTTTGCCCCAACGTTTCAAATGTGCATTTTAACCCCTGCCAAATGCAAATGGACAAATGTATGCACTATATATATATAAATGCAATCTAAATGGCTAATATGATCAAGATAAATATGTTAAAAACCATTAAAAACACTACATATCAATAAGCTTATACTATTTGGTAATGTTATGTTTATTATAATTTACTGAATATTAACATAAGCTTAACCGTGAATGCCCTTCTTAAAAAAAGAACATAAGCTTAGACGAGTAAGTTAGTATATTTTGAGATTTTACTTTGACAACTAGTCCCAATAATGGTTGTGTAATTTTAGTAATGATCATTTCTCAGTACTCTCTCAATAATTTACAAGTTTCACACATCACGTGGAGCCAGTTAAAGTTTTAGTAACGAAAACTCTTGACTCCATAATTTATTGTTCAATATTAATATAAAAATCTTACACATGCACACATATATATGAGCAACAATTAAAGAAAAACTCTTTTGCGTTACAAAGACAATGCCAATTAATTAACTTATTCACGAATCAATAGTACTTTAAGTGCACACTGCTGGAACACCTCGAGGAAACCTTTTCTTATCGGTGCAATAGTTATAGACCATATACTTTCTCTGTGCCCATTTCACTTTATTCATGCCTCCTTTACCGAGTTTCTTATTAAACCATCTAGAATGGGAATTCGCGGGGCAAGATGACTTTCCATGAGCCCATACACATCCTTCCACATTATAGTTTCTATAGTAAGCAGTAAAAGGAGCTTTTGACCAATCTGTTTTCTCTAATCCTCCCCTTGTAGCCCAGTGCTCAGCTTCCCAAAGGCTCGCGTACACTCTCATTGGTTGGCTCTTTGGAAAATGTATTCCAATAGACTCGGAATTCTTGAACTCTCTAATGGGAATGTTATCAACTGTAAAACTGGAAATGCAAAAAAAAAAAACAACGTGAGAATCTTCATTCATGAACACATAGTCTCAAAACATATGAGAAGGGATTAAAGAAAACGTTTACATGATCCTTTGAGGGTTCCATGTGATGCAGTACGTGTGAAAGTCAGCCGTTGGGTCAAACCATAAATGAAACTGTTGCTCTTTATCTCCTAAGCCTTTTGTGTAAACATTAGTATGGAGAGTATAGGGATGACCAGTAATGTTTCCCAAGAACTCGAAGTCAACCTCATCCCACGTAGTTCCATGGGACTTAAGCTACACAAAAGTCATCATATAAAACACCAACAAACTCATTAAGTATATATGTAACCAAGCATATTAAAAATGAAAATATGAAAAGAATGCTTTAAAGTTGTAAGTTACTTACATAGAAAGTTGTGACTGTTCCAGCAGAGTTACCAGGGACGAGCTTCATCTGAACCTCAGCTTTGCCATAAAGAAACTCTTGGTTGGATTGAAAACCGGATCCAGAGGAATTGTCAAGCGAAAGAGAAAGAAGTTTGCCTTCATTGTCGTGAATCTTTCCACGTCCATGACCCCAATGTATATTCACATCTTTATGGAAGCTACCCGCATAGACGCACGCAGATTGTGCCACAAAGAGAACCAAGAACGCGAGCCTTGTACCGCAAGAAGACTTCATTTTTTGTAGATCTCAGATGTAATACTGTTGATGGAACCTGAGGAAAGTGACGTTAGTTTATATAGATGCTGGAAATGAAGCGCAAAGATGAGAAAGAGAGATGGAAGTTTCATGGGGCTGAGATCATTAATGGTGCATGTGCTTTCTGCTCGTTGGATCACAGCTTTCCTAATATTGATTATTTGATACGTTGTTTCTGTTAAAAACGAATCTAACTCTTAAAAAAATACTTTCATTATTTCATTAGTGCTATAGAACCGAATATTTTTTGGGCATTTGTATCAGATTGGCTGTTCTTAATGTTTTGAAATGTCAACGCAGCTTCGAATTTCGAGCACCATCTGAAGAGAAACACGTCTGTGTTTATTTTAAAGTTCCAAATAGAGCCAACCTATAACGTAACAGGAAGACACACGCATTGAAGTTTCCTTAAACTTGGGTCTATATCATTATATATCCGTAAAAGGAAGGTTTTGATGTTTTGATTTTTTTTTCTTTTCTTTTTTGAATTTAAGTAATGTAAAATCTTGTGTCTGATCAAAATGTCTTTTGGAATTTGTAAACATAGATATGAAACTATGACAAAGTAAAAACTGCCTGCCTTATACAGGCCCGGCCTATCGGACAGACAAAATAACAACTGCTTGGGGTCCATAATAATTTTGAGATTTTTATCTTAAGAAAATGATCTAATTTTTTTAAAAAGATTTACCTTAAAGAAAAAAAGCCCAAAATTTTATTTTGAATAGGATCTTATTAAAGTTTGGGCCGGTCCTGGCCTTATATATATGTCTCTATCAAAGAACTCATTGTTCATCTAAGAACACGTTGATTCGTTGGTATATATATATATTACTAACTACACTTTTTGATATCACTTTTTAGTACTCATTGGATGGGTACTATTGGCTGATGATTTTAGCAGGTTGTCATAGGGGTGGGCACTTTACCCGAACTCGTACCTGAATCCGACCCGAAATATTCGAATCGAAATCCGAACTCGAGTAGCAAAATATCCAAACGGGTATTGAGTTAGGAGAGATTAGATATCCGAACCCGAATAGGTAATACCCGAACCCGAATGAATATTCGAAGATAACCGAACATATGTATATATACATATTTTATTACTAATTTATTTGTCTTGTTTTATTAAATCTTTATAATAATGTTATATATAGCTGAAAATCAATATATATATATATGTAAAAAAAATGATTTTCTATTCATTTAAAATGCATTTTAAGCTTCTTATTTCTTGTTTCAACAAAATTGTATCTAAATTTTGAAAACAATAATTAGATTAATGATTTTCTATTTTCAGTAATTTATTTTCAAATTTTTTAAGTATCTCACTTATCAAACATTAAAAACAGTTAAGTTAATAATAATTTTTTTTACAACAATAAAATTAAATTATAATGTATGCCTTCCCAGATCAGAAAACTAAATCGGAGGCATAAAACCAACATAGACCATAGCAGAAGGGGAACATCTTGCACCAAGAACTTGAACATAGTAAAATTTTAAATACATGAAACTTGAACAACGAAGAATTTGAACTTTTTCTTTCAAAATCTAAATATCCGAACCGCTCCGAAATAACCGAACCCAAACTAAATATATCCAAAACCGACCCGATATGTAAAAATAACCGAATGGATACTAGATTCTAATATCAAAATACCTGATCCGAACCCGAACGGATACCTGAACACCCACCCTAGGTTATCAGATTATTCTTCCTTTAGTAGCGATTATGACTTCTGGGAGCAGAGAACAATATTTTCCATACAAGAAGAGTTCGTAAAAGTTCCATTTTATACATAGACTCCAAAGGTAGTTTCATCGCATAAATGAACTCATCACTTTCGTTTCTCTCCATACCCAACTTTCGAATTCGTGAATCAACGGTTAACTATAATCGTAACTAGCTAGTTCGATTTCTTAAAAACTTAAAGCGAGAACCAAAACGACGTCGTTTGATAGAAAATCATTAATTCTTCATATTCTTTTTTCTCTACCTAGCGAGAGAGAAACAAACCCAAAGCTTTCTTCCCTCATGTTCGTTGGAAAAACCAACGCAAATCTCATATTGACTTTCCAACATGCTATGGTGCCCCGGGGTGGGTAGGAGCGGGTCGAGTCCTGTTGGCCTCGCTCTTGCTTTGCAAAGACGGGTCGCAGCCTGGCACAGAAAGCAGGCAAAGTCATTCAGCCTATTTCATTCCAAAAGTTTGCATTGGTTGATGAAGAATCACAAACATAATAATTTTTGGTTAACCATGTTCTGATCAAAAGAACTGTATTTGCCAGAGAATTGGGAATTCCTATACAGGGGGATTCACTGCAAATACTAGTTTGGCTCATTATTGCTTGCTTACCAAGCCATCCTGGCAAGCTCCTCTCCGATCATCCAATTCGCTCCAAGAGAGAGGGATGGTTTTGTAGTCAAAGCAGCTTCGTCACTTTTGTTTGCAAATCCCCAAGCTGTGGCACTGATGACTTTGTTACCTTTTCGTGATTCTTTGAATATTGGAAGCAAGCCAAATGAAAGCAAACTAAGCATGATACACATTCATGATTTACTAGATCGATTTGGTTAAACGATAAAGGAGAAGAAGACAAAGAATTATCTTAGAACTCAATCTTGAATTCTCCAGAATTCCAGCTAAAATAAACTGTACATGTTGAAAAACCAAAGTTACTAAACATGATCATCATAACAAACTCAAGAAACAAAAAAAAAACACTATAAAACACTTTCAAAACTACATTTTCTTACAGTACTCTAAAGTAAAACCCTATCCCTACAAATCGGACAAGTGGCGACTTTGACCAACCAAAAGTCCACACACTTGCGGTGAAACACATGTCCGCATCCAGGTAACTTCCGACACCACTGCCCTTGTCTGAACCCGTCGATACAAACCACGCACTCGCTTCCGTACTGTACCGGCTCATAAAACCTGAACTGGGAAAGGCTCTTCACGCATCTTCTAGGAGAGAACCCATCTGAGGATTCGCGACGGCGGTGGCGGTAGTTCCGGTGGAGAAACCAGTAGAGAGAGAAGAAGAAGAGAGATAAGCTGAGAGACATGAGGATGAAGAGCAAGGTGGTTGCAGCTACAGGGATCATGATAAGACCTACGAGGATTTTCGAAAGAATCTTCGTTGATAGACTCGTCGTGTGGCGCTTCCGTGGCGCCGGTTGATCTCCGGTGACTGCTTCACCGTGGAGAATAGATATCGACATCGGACTATTGCGGCGGAGATAAATAATCTTCTGTTTAGTCTCTTGAGGTAAGGAGAGAGAGAGAGAGAGAGAGCGAGAGTTATACAAATTATTACAATCAGAAGGATTACCACTTTACCATAGAGAGGTGGAAAAATTGATTTGGATCGAAAACTGTGGATCCAAACAATACAAGGGGTGTGTATATAATAGTTTTATTATATTATTTTAATTGATTAATTGTATACTTCATATGTTTGATAATGTATGATTTTTTTTTTCTTACAGCAAAAAGAGTATTATTATTTTTTCTGTAAAGTACTTTTAAAAATATAAATTAATAATAATTTAGCCAACTATAAAATAAGTTGAGATTGAGAGTGTAAAAGGTTAAATAGTTCTCAATAAAATGAACACAGAAATGTTAGAAATATTTTACATTTTAAAGCGCTAAAAATCTTCTAAAATATCGTATTTATAAAATGGAGAAAGTATATACCTTGAAATGATTCGAACATCTTAACTAGTTCTCACCATATTTAACAATTCTATTTAATTACTACTTTTTGTATAAATTTATATTTGATCATTCTGTTTATATTATTTTAAAATTTTATATAGATTCTCTATTAATTTTTATAATTATTAAAAGATTATGATATCTCAACTTTAAAATGTTTGAATATAAAAGATTAATTATTTAATCGAGCTAATAGACTAATGAAGTAACATATGATAATCATTATCTTAAGATAGAAAAATCAGTGATAATGGAGTAACATATGATAATAAAAATATAAACATAAACATAGATGCGTTTTATAACAATCAGATTATAATCACCTTACCAGATTTGTCATACGTAATAATACAGTATGGTTTTTTTTTACATCACAAGAAAACTAGAAAACAAACGGCGAAAACAATGTTTCACTTGAGGATAAGAAAGCAGAGCTAATCAGCCATACGACAAAGAATACGAATATAATTGATTTTGGTTCAAACTATTCTCTGAACCTTCCTATTTGGTAATGCCGAGTGTGAAGAGATAGGGACAGGCCGACAAGTGCGCTTCCTTGGTAACACCATTTCTTATGTCACCATGCCATTCCACTACCTTTAACACTTATTTTTAATATTATCTGCTTAGTTTCCGTTTCACATTTTTCCGGTTCATTTTGCTATTCAAATCCGGTTATCTACGGTTGAACTTGGTTCTGAATAAGAGCAGCATCAATGGGAGGTGCTTAAGAGAGTGCTTAGTACTTTTTGATAGTAGGTCCCGCAAGCACCCTTTTCAAAAGTGCTTAATCAAACACCCCAAATAATGAGTTGCTTGTACTGTTCGTGGATCCTACTAATACATGACGTCGTGATTGGTTTGAATTTCATTTTTTTTTAATACAAAAAAGAAAAAAATACAAAAAATAAGCACCCGATGTGGAGTGCTACAGTTGAGAATGCTCTAATCAGCTTAGATGCTGGAACTTGATTTACGTATGTCCTGATGCCTTTCTTATGGCTCCTACTGGTGACACTAGTATTAGAGTTAGATTACAAAAAAAAATTATAATCCAATGTAGTTAGAAGTAAAAATTATGTAGTAAATTTTTAAAAGTGTTTGCTGTAAAAATGTTAGGATAATATTTAGTTAAAATAATTGATTCATAATGTAGAAGTTGTATGTATTAGTTTATAATATTATAAATCAGTAATAATAACATCTATAAAATTTAACAAAATTCATTGGAAGTCACGAGAAGGTGTGAGACTGGTGAGGTTCAATCTCAACTCTCAACAGACGTTGACAGAAAAAAATATCTATATCTTAAAAATATAACTCAAATAAGATGGAACTTGAATAATAACATGGAACTGGAAAGTCAGATAACCAAACAATAGAGGATAGAAACTTAAAACAAAACTCTGCAGCAAACAAGGAGCTTCAATGATTGCATACAAACTAAAAAGGAACGGGAATAAAAAAAAGAAGCTTATATAATTTGACCTCATTCCGCTAATATTTACACAAAAGAAGAAGAAGAAAAAAGAAAACTTTCCATCTGGCAATGTATCTTCAGTCGATCAAATCGTTGTTTCTGCCTTAAAAATCATCCGTGAGATGAAATTAGGAACGGACCTTTGAACACACTGGCCCGAGCTCCCATCAAACTTAGTGTCTAGTCCAGCATATTCATTCTAAATCCCTCATGACATCCTGCAAAGTTTGAAAAACCAAACTTTACAATTCTTAGCATTCAAAAAAACAATTGTAACGATCAAAGAGACTTACGAGTAGGAATAATGGGAGTGATGTCGAATTTGATTTTAAGAGCGTCGATAGCAGATAGAACTTCTTCGTTTCCAGACGCCAAAAACAGTCTTAGAATTCTCTCATTCAATTTCCCTGCTTCTAATGTCCTCTTTTCATTACACACACACAAAAAAAAACAGAGCAAAAGAGAATCAATTACAAACACCAGATAAGTTCAGACAAAACCCATCATTAAAAAAACAACAACCATATAGTATACTACAATTATGCAATCCTTAAGCTAGCTAGGGCCCAATCAACACGAGCGTAGAGCTCTGAACTTTCACTTATAACTTCCCAAAAAGATTACTAATTTCGAGAAACCCAGACTAATAAAAAAGGAGGGTTGAGATTATCTTACCGCGAAGATCTGGAGGACGATGTGATCGGGGAGATGAGAGAGATCGTTGATGCGAGAGAGGTTTAAGACGGCGGAGTTGACGGTGAGGGAGAGCAGAGACGGAGGAGGGTTTCTCATTCAATCAGTCGACAGAGAGAAGAGGGTCACTTTGATTTTGTTCTCTAGTTATATCTGAAATTTCCACGATCAGAGAGATAAGAAAAAGCCAAAGGGGACGGACAATCTTTTTCCGCGTTTGTCTAAATAAAACGCTAAAACTAGCGTTTTGTAGAAACCGCCCTCAGCCTTGTGTTAACTAGACTCCAATTCATGGCTAACTGGGCTGCTGGGCCTAGGGGTGGGCATTTTATCCGATACCCGAATTCGTATCCGAACCCGACCCGAAATATCCGAACCGAAATCCGAACCGAAGTAGCAAAATATCCGAACGGGTATTGAGTTATGAGAGTTTGGATATCCGAACCCGAACGGATATTACCCGAACCCGAACAGGTATCCGAAGATAACCGAACATATGTATATATACCTATTTATTCCTAGTTTATTTATCTCATTTTATTAAAAATATTTATATTTATGATATATAATTTAAGATCAGATAATATATATATAATTGTAAAAAAATAATAATTTGTTACTCATTTAAAATGCATATTAAGCTTCTTATTTCCTATTTTAAACAAAATTTGCATCCAAAATTCAAAATAACAACCAAAATAATGAATTTTATTTTCAATAATTTATTTTCAAAATTATTAATCATCTAACTTATTAAACATTTTAAAAACAGTTAAGTTAATAGTTAAATTTTAAATACATGAAACTTAAGTAATAAAGAATTTGAAATTTTCTTTCAAAATCTAAATATCCGAACCCGACCCGAAATAACTGAACCCGAACTAAAAATATCCGAACCCGACCCGATATGTAAAAATATCCGAACGGGTTCTATACCCCAATACCAAAATACCCGAAATACCCGAAATACCCGACCCGAACGGGTACCCGAACTAACAAGAAATTGGCTAGAAATACGGAGATCCTTGTTATTATTTTTAATTAAATTTTGCTAATCTTCTAGTGAAAATGTTACCAGATCTAGCTGTTATACAACTCTTATATTCAGATAAATCTTATATAATATAAATATATCTTTTGTGTGTTCATATTCTATGCTAGAACGAAACAGAAACTACTACTTTTGCCATCTAAGTTCTATAAACCTAAAAAGAACTGACCAGCAAATAAGACATGTGAACCAAGAAAATAAATACATGAAGATTTAATTGAGTAGCATAGTATAAATTACAAATTGATAATTAAATCTATCAAAAAGGTATCGATTTAGTTAGTTGAGAAAAAAAGAGACATTTACACAAAGAGACATTTATTGTCTTATCTTTTCATTCAAAGCCACATTGTCTATTTGACACATTTTGTGTGGACAAATGTTCTTATAAGACCAAATTAACCTTCATTTCATGTAAGTAGAAATGTATTAGTTTTAGGAAAGCAAAAAAACGTTATGGAATCGGTTTGACAGAAATAAAATTGTTCTTTAGTTAGAGAGGGAGAAATGTGTCTATTTATTCTTATATAATTATTATTCTTCATCTACCTCCGTTTGTATTTGTTTATTTTCAAAAGTTCAAGATAGATAAATCAACTTTAATTAATATCATAAATTATAGATTTTTATTTTATACATTTTACATCCATTTCAATATATATATATTTTTTATATTTAAATTTTTATACAAAAATATATACAAAAAAGAGTAAATAGAAAAATATGGATGAAGAAGACATGGACATAAAAACATGGACAAATTCTTGTGGATGGATACTTATGGACGGGATCATGTGGATATGATTGTGAGTACGAGGTTTGAACTGATTTTTTTGTGTGGATAATTTGTTTTTCTATATTTTGAGATCTGTGGTATGTATATGTTTGTCAAAGGTGCAGATTCTTACTGAAAGAATTTGGAACAATCATTGGACTTTGTGATGTTTTCCTTGTTGGTCACCATCCACAAAACTCTCATCCACCAGTCTCATATCCAAGAAATTCCCATTCACCTATCTCCCATCCATCAAATGTCAACCATGTCCACCGTTCAAAGTGTATATTCGAGTTAACAAAGCAACTGATGAGAAAAGATGCAAAGAGTTGGGGTTTAGACAGATGAGAACAACTATATTCAAGTAATTGTTTTTGAAATCCAAATCTAACCTTTCATATAGGAGATTGTCTGGGAAACAACAGAGGATAGAACGAACTTGCGGCGATAGAGAATCTAATTTTGAAATAGAGAGTGGAGAAGATGACGAATCGAAGAGGGTGGATTAGGGGTGATTTTAAAACTAGAAGATTGGAGAACTGGAGAAGATGACGAATCAAATAGAGTAGATTATGGACGATTCAGTTTCTAGATCAAGAAGAAATCAAGGAAAAATAAGGTTAGGTTTCTACTTTTCTGGATCTAGCAACATGAAGAGATAAGGTTATTTTTTTAAATCAGAATAATTCATTTATTTTTTTAAATAGCAAAAAACAAGAGATTTTCAAAAACAAATGGTTGGTAACGAAGGGAAAAGGGAAGAGAGGAGAAACTTGAAAAACCATTCACTTAGTTGTAGGATATTATGGCCAGGTTGCTAGAATAAAGTGTCTACTATATACAATGTGTTTTTAAGGATATTACAAACTCAACTTGTATCTTCTAAGGTAAATATTTCAGAGAAAATGACGCGCGTGAAGAATAAGAGAATGTGTATGTTTTTTTTCTTCTTTTCTCGTTGTCATTAAGCGCTTTCTTCCTTACAACATGATTGATGAAGGTTCTTAATTTAAGGTTCTCATGATTTGACATTTTTTAGTTAAGAAACGATTCTTAATCTTTTATTTAAAAGATGATTATTAGTTTTTTTTTTAGCTAAAAGCTAAGAAACATTTCATAGCCAATGCTAATAACCCCATCGTTCAACATCCAAAAATCATGTAAATTCTCAAAAAAAAACAAAAAAAAAAACAAACATTCGAAATATTGAAAAACCACATTTTTTTGTTATCTAGGAATTGTATTAACGTGAAATGAAAAACCATGTTATAACACTCAATAACCTAAACCAAAGCTCCAAAGAGATACAGAAGACACACAACCGGCAAAGATACACCTTTTCAGAGTTAAGAGACTTTTTTTTTTTTTTTTTTTTGTAACATCAGAGTTAAGAGACTAAAAAGTGAAATAAAGAAACTACAACATAGACAACGCTATTTCATCTCAGAACCTCAATCTTTCGGTTAACACTGACGATAGGACCACAGCAAGCCAACATTGAAAGAAGAGAAATAGCAAGCCTCAACTGAAGTGTCAAAAACACCAAACAAAGCACCACTGGATAAAGGATAAAGAACCACATAAAATTTATTGTTCCTCTATTTTATTATGATGCTCCAAAAAAGAGTTTTGTCTACTTTTTGGTATTATTGTAATACAATAAAAAGAGACAAATTTGATATAGCAAGTAACAAATATTATTTTGGAAGTAACGAATATTTTATAGAACAAATAACAAGTAATGAGATAACAAGTAGCAAGTAACAAAGTTAGTACCAAAAAATAAAATGATAATAATGCTTTTTTGTCCTTGTAAGTAGTGCAATTTGTTAACTTATTATTTACCTTACCAACATCAAGTATTCGCTTTTTAAAATGAATATTGGCCAAGTCACGAGTATAAAATGATATTGTTTGTCCGTTAGGTTGAACAGAAACTATTGTTTGTCCTTTTATAAAAAGGTCAACCATATCGTCTGTAAACAAGTCGAATATATTATTCTCCGACAGCTCATATGAGCTAATTATCCTTTCCTTTTACAAGTTAGAATCTGAATGAATGTGTTACATCTCAAAAAATGTTTTAGTTATGAGTGGGACGTTGTCTATTAACAAATAAAACTGAACCAGATATAGTTTACGTGTATATGTACAATATATCTCCCACATATTATATGTTATTGTCCAATTTCTTTTAGTTTATAAATGTCTCTTTCCTTAGAATGAAAAACGTGCCAAGAAAAGCAGTCAATGCATATAAATACTATGATCCCTTAGTGCATCACCTATAAATAATACTATATCATGATTCGCGCATCCGCACGGATTCAATTTTCAGATGTATTCTATATCATTTAGTTTTATATAGTTTCGAGTTTGTCCAATTCAATTTTATGTTCAAAAAATAATATTAAAATATTATTTTATATTAATAGCATCAAACATCATATTTTATATATGTAAACGTTAAATGAAAATACTAATTATGTATATTTATTTGAAGTGCAAAATCAAATTTAAACTTAATTCTATGCATTAAAAAATAAGTAAAGAGTTTAGTTATTTATGTTGTTAATAATTATCCAAAATTTTAAAATAATATACAAGTTTCTAAAAATTTTGGCCTTAGCTTTTATTTTATAGGTTATATCAAATTCAAACTTAACTTTGGTCTTAACTTTGCAAGCGTAGAATATTTTATGATGAAAAATTTCATAAATAACTCAACAAATATTTTGGTAATTTGAAAGATTTGTTTTTTGTAATTAACATATTTTTGCATTAAAATCAGTATTTTTAAATTTAGTCCAAACCGCGGTTAAAGCGGTGATCCGACAATTTAAATTTTATTTTAAAATATCCATATTTTAAAAATCAGTAAAACCCGAGACTAACCAATTGAACCGATGAATAATTGATATGTAATATTTAAACATGGGAAATAAGTTTATTTTGTTGTTTTATATACTATTTAGTTTTTTAAATTTATCTAAATAATTTGAAAATAAATTGTGAGAAATTATTAAAAAATGTGAGATATAATATTTTGTATTGTTTGGACATAAGAATAATTATAGTGTTGTTTGGAAACATGGATAGTAGTAGGGCTGGGCAAAAAAACCGAAATCTGAAAATCTGAACCGAACCCGACCCGATAAAAAGGAATCCGAACCGATCCGAACCCGACATAAATACCGAATGGATCTTGTTTTACGGTATTTCGGGTTATGGGTTTTATCCGAACCGAACTGAACCCGAACTTAAATGGATATCCGAAATAACCTGAAACTTTAAAATTCCAAAAAAACTTATATCATACTCAATCTAAATTTGTAATATGTTTCCAAAACACATTAATATATTATTGAGTACCTATAATAATTAGTTATGATATGAATAATTAACTCAAATATTTAATCTAATATATAGTGTTATTTGGCTGTTACTAATGTTTATGATTAACACTACATTTGAAGTTAAGTTACGAATAAATTTGTTTTGAAGTTTAAATAATGTTGTTTTTTTAATTTTCAATATTACTTCTTACGTTTATATAATTGTTAATTGTTAACTTTAACTTTTTATGTTTCATTATGTATGATTTTCGTTCATACAAGACTTTGGTTTATCATTAATCATGATATGTTTAGTGTTGTCACATATAGTTCAATGACAAATCTTATATTGTTGATAGATGAGTTTCATAATATTATTTAGAAGTAGAACAATAAGCTTTGTAGAAGTTAAATACACAATTTAATAAAAATATTGTAAATATAGTGAATTTAATTGAGTATAAATTAGTATTTTTAGAATCGATAACCCAATAAGTATCCGAAACCGAAACTATTTTGGGTTCAACTGGATTTTGGACATGTTACTAAATCCGAACCGAACCCGATTAAACCCGAACCGAATCCGATCCGAATTTTTATAATATCCGAATGGGGCTGAAATTCATGAACCCGAAAACTCGAAACCCGAATGAACCCGAACCGAAACCCGATTGGGACCCCGAATTCCCAGCCCTAGATAGTAGTATAAAGAAATGAGTATATTGTTTGAAAACATGAATATTATTATAAAGAAATAAATATATTGTTTGGAAACATAGATAATAGTATAAAAAAAGGTAATATTAGTGATTTAATGTAGGTTTAACTATAAAGTAGAAAGATGTATTATTTTAAAAACATAAAATAAATTTTAGGTCCAATCTAATATTTCTGATTTAATAAGATAGATGATGCCTTTGTAAGTTAATGCAATCGACGGACAATGATAACTACATAAACCAAAAACATGTAAAACAAAATGTTTAAATTAAGATCACCAGAATGTAAATGAAACTTTCCTATAATCGTATATAAATTTTCTTATGTACAAATACAACTTACTATCGTAAGACATTTTCCATGTCCAAATAATATACGGTCCTATCAACAAACAATGATCTCAGCCGATCTAGATCGTGATTTCACAAATAATCTCGTGCAAAAAAGGTCATTTACCGTTCAATTCCAGCCTCAGCAGCATCAACAATACTCTTCATCACATTCACTTGTGTCTGAAGTGAGATGATGTAATCTAACGTTTCTTGTATCAACAAAACGTTACTGCTCATAAACTCTCCACCAGGGACAACGTTTCTTAACCCCTGAGTCTTTTTCTTAACGAGCTTTTTTGCTGCGACCTCTTCCATCGCTGATCTCGATTTCCTCCTCATCAAGATCTTCTTGCTTCTTCTCACAATCTTTCTGTGACACATAACCTTAGGCAACTTCTTGTTGATTAACGGTTCCTCTTTTATGCCAGAGAGCATTTGACGTACGAGGAAATTGTCCTCAGTGGCGGTTTTCTGGATTAGGGCTCGGCTCCAACAAGTTGTGCCTTTTCTTAGAGACGCCATTGCAACGTCTGCAGAGAGCTTTATTGCTCTCTTTCTCTCGGAAACGCTCGTGTTGTCTATCGAAGGACTGAATATCTGAAGACCCATTTGCCATTTCTTCAGGAATTCTTCATTCATTGAGCTCTTTGGTTGCATCCTAAATCATAATCAAGTAGAAATACTCAAAATTCTGAATAATTGTCCTCTAAATAAAGTAAATAAATTCTAAAAAAGTAATCATTCGTGTTGTCTTTACACATAAACAAGCCCGGACCGGAGTATGAACAAAAGAATCTGTCGCTTAGGACATTAGTATTTTTGCTGCGACAATTTTAGTTGTATATATAACATTATGAAAATATTCTATAAAACAAGAATATAAACTTTTTATTTGAGTGTATGGAATTATGAATGTTTTAAAAAATAGACCGACACTACACATAAAAGAATGCATCAAAGGGCTGATAAACATCAAATCATAATCAAACTGGCCAGGATTCTTTAGCATAAGAAAATAGACATGAACAATTACCTTTTTTGTATATTTTTTTCTTATACTTCTTTTGTTGAGTGTCGAAGATTGCTGAGATGAAATCTGCGCTCAGCTCACAAATTTGTGAAATCGACAAGATAGAGAGAGACAGACAGAGATGTAAGGGAGGGAGAGAAGAAGCTGGTCCATTTTATTTGTTTCAAAAGGAGAGTGAAAATGGTGGGGGCGATAGGAGATAGGAGAAGCACATGCATGCACATGCTGTTGTATGGCCCACGTACCCTTTTGTATAATACCCTATCATTTAGGAAACTTTTGTCGATTATTATATGTTTCCGCCGAATTTTTTTGATGATGCTATATGTTTATGATGGTGTTTAAAAAAAAAGATATATGTTTATGATGTTATAAAACTGTATATTTGGAATATTAAATCTAATAATAAAAAAGTGGGTTTTAGACAATGCACCAACAGAATATTATCTTAACTTTGAGGTTTTTATGTTAAAGAACGTAAACTATAACATAAGTGTGGTGGACTGATCCTCCACCAATATATATACTTACGTTAGTTAAATCGGCTGATTGTAAATTATTAGGTCCTTCCATCATAATCAATAGATTTTTATCAAATAAAAATGTGCAAACAAATATGTTGAGAGGGTTGTAGATAAGTCCTATTATTAAGGAGATAAACATGTATAGTTGTTAGGCTTATCTCTAAAGTATATTCTCTGTTCAGTATGTATATATACACGGCAATTGCCAACGATGAATACAGATCAATTTTACATAAAAGCTTCTGCTTACTTTACATGGTATCAGAGCTATTTTAAATTTTTTTTTTATGGCCGCGGTTGCACCCAGAAAAGTCCCTTCTCCATATGACTTGTCGTCATCTGATAACCCTGGCGTAGCTATCTCTCCGGTACAATTAACGGGGGAAAACTATGCTCAATGGGCGTCTGAGTTGGAGAATTCTCTTCGCGCTAAGAGAAAATCAGGCTTCATTGATGGAACGTTAGTCAAGCCTGAAGAAGGATCACCTGACCTAGAATCGTGGAATACGGTGAATTCCATGATTGTGGGATGGATAAGGACATCGATGTCGCCTACTATACGATCCACTGTCACGTTTACCTCCGATGCTCATAAGTTGTGGGAACAACTACGTCAACGATTCTCGATCGGGAATTCTGTCCGACCACACCAACTTCGTTCCGAACTGTCAGCGTGCAAACAAGAAGGTATGAGTGTTCTGGAGTACTTTGGGAAGCTGTCTGCTAAGTGGGAGAAGTTGCTTACGTACAAGCCATTACCTAAGTGCACATGTTCTGCGATGACTCATATCACAAAAGAGCATGAAGAAGGACGTGTTCATCAGTTTCTCATGGGCCTTGATGAGGTGAGGTTTGGCAATGTCGTGACAAACATCATCTCGATGGAGCCATTACCTGACCTTAACAATGTCTATCAGCGTGTCATTCGAGAGGAACAGCGGTTGTTTACTTCTCGATCAGAGACAAGACAAGATACGGTGGGTTTCAGTACTAAAGCTGACACAATTACTTCAGCTGAGAGTGGCTTCAATGCAGCTGTAATGACGAGTCGTCAGGTTAGCAATTGTTCACATTGTGGTCGCAGTGGACATGAGAAGAAAGATTGCTGGCAGATTATCGGGTTCCCCGAATGGTGGTTAGAAAAGAATCAAGGTGACAGGGGAAATAGAGGTAGTACACGAGGAAGAGGAGGTTTCTCTCCAGGGCGTGGAGGACGTGGAAGAGGAGGTTCCCCTTCTACTCAACAAGCACGTTTTAATGCGGTTCAAACACAAGCATCACCAGCCTCAACCTTTCCCAATTTCACTCAAGAACAGTGGGCGTCACTAACAGAACTTCTCGAGCAGCAAAAGACAACTCCTATACCAGATCGTCTGAACGGTAATGTTCAAACTGGAGAAGTGATACTCGATTCAGGAGCATCGCATCACATGACTGGCGATATGTATATTCTTGAATCGATTGTCACCATCCCTCCTTGTCCTATCTCTTTTGTTGATGGCAGCGTAGTATATGCTACCAAGTCCGGGAAGCTTTCGTTATCACCAAAACTTATTCTGGAGAATGTGCTTTTCGTACCAAACTTGAATTGCACATTGTTGTCTGTTGCGAAAATTTTGAAGCAAACTGGTTGTTTTGCTTTTTTTACTGACACTTTATGTATACTGCAGGACCGTTTTACGAGGACTCTGATTGGAGCCGGTGAGGTTCGCATTGGTGTGTATGTTTATCGGGATGTCACAGTAGTCAGAAGCAACCGTGTACGAGCTCCTGAAGATCATGCATTGTGGCATCGACGTCTGGGTCATCCTGCTTATGGTGCTTGGTGTTTTTACCTTTCATTGTTGGTGTTAAGCACATCCCAGAGAAATTTGGTGGTTGTGAAGTGTGTTTTAAGTCGAAACAAACTCGAGAATTTTTAATGAAAGTTCTAATAAAGCAATAGAAAGTTTTGGTTTGATTCATGTTCATTTATGGGGCCCCTATCGGATTCCATCTTCTTGTGGTGCAACATATTTTCTCACAATCGTCGACGATTTCTCTCGTGCCGTTTGGATTTATTTGTTACTCGAGAAAAGTGAGGTCCGAGTTATCCTCCCTAACTTATGTGCTCTCAAAGTTGTTTGTTCAGACAATGGGTCAGAGTTTATGTGCCTCTCCAGATACTTCAATGAGAATGGAATTATTCACCAAACGTCTTGTGTAGCAACACCACAACAGAATGGTCGAGTTGAGAGGAAGCATAGACACATTCTCAATGTGTCCATGTCTCTACTTTTCCAAGCTAACTTACCAACAAAATTTTGGGGAGAGAGTGTTCTTGCAGCTGCTCGTGTTATTAACATGACACCTTCAAGTGTTTTGAAAGGAAAAACCCCATACGAATGTCTCTATGGAGAACCACCCTCTTAACACAGCATCAAGACCTTCGGCTGTCTATGTTATGCACATCGATACACCAGAAATAAAGATAAATTCGGCGAAAGGAGCAGGAAATGCATCTTTGTTGGTTACCCATACGGCAAGAAAGGATGGCAGCTGTACGATCTCCAAACAAATGAGTTTTTTTATCTCGCGTGATGTGGTTTTTGATGAGACTTGTTTTCCCTTACGAAACTACAGAGTCATCGGGTCTGGTTGCTGTTCCTCCTCCTCCTCATGATGATGATGACGATGTCAATCTTGAACACGACACGTTCCACCCGTTGTTACAACACCTGCTGTACAAACCGATCAACTACAATCTCAGACTGACTTGATTGGACGTGGCCACAGACAGAAACGGCCATCAGTGAAGCTCACAGATTTCGTATCTTAAAAGGCATCTGCATCTCCTGATAAACATACAGAATCACCTCTCATCGGCCCATTTCAGTGGATTCTCCTGAGGTCCAAGGTAACGTTCTATATCCCATTCACTACTATACTTGTGATGATGCCTTCTCTGGTTGTCATCGTGCCTTCCTAGCAGCTGTTACTGCGGGTGTAGAGCCAAAAACATTCAAAGAAGCAATGAAGGATGAACGCTGGACAAAATCGATGGGTTTAGAAGTCAACTCTCTTGAAGAAGCAGGCACTTGGAGTGTCACGACTTTACCACCAAGAAAGACAGCTCTCTCTTGTAAATGGATTTATAAGATCAAGTATAACGCAGATGGTTCAGTTGAGCGTTTTAAATCCAGACTGGTTGTATGTGGTAACCGTCAGGTTGAAGGGGAGAACTATGACGAAACTTTTGCACCTGTTGTTAAGATTGCCACTGTGCGTGCTCTTTTCAAGATTGCTGCTGTTAAAGGATGAGAGGTTCATCAAATGGATGTACAAAATACATTTCTCCATGGGGATTCGGAAGAAGAAGTGTATATGAAGATGCCACCTGGTTTCAACGCTGAGGATTCTTCCAAAGTGTGCAGGTTGAGGAAGTCTCTATATGGTCTCAAACAGGCTCCGCGATGCTGGTTTGCAAAGCTCAGTAATGCTCTGCTACAATTTGGGTTTGTTCAGTCTCGTTCTGATTATTCCTTGTTCACATTCATCAAAGGTGATGATAGTCTACGAGTGCTTATTTACGTTGACGATCTCATCATCACTTGCAACAACCTGGATATGCTCACTAAGTTTAAGAAGTATCTCAGTAATTGCTTCAAAATGAAAGATCTTGGCAAAGCAAAATATTTTCTCGGCATTGAAGTCTCAAGGGGGAAGTCTCGCATTTTTCTTTCTCAATGAAAATATGCTTTAGATATCATAGAGGACGCAGGGTTATTGGGTTGCCAGCCTCTCTCCATTCCAGTCGAGCAAAACCACTCACTATTATCTGATGATGGTCCGTTCTATGACAATCCTTATCAGTTCCGGCGTCTAGTTGGCCGTCTTGTGTATCTTACAATTACACGCCCAGAGTTGTGTTATTCGGTTCATGTTTTGTCTCAAGTTATGCACAATCCGCGTAAGTCTCACTGGGATGCAGCAGTTCGTGTTGTTCGCTATTTAAAAGGGACGCCAGGTCAAGGTATCATGCTTCATGCTGACAGTCATCTACGAACACAAATCTACTGTGACGCTGCCTGGCAATCTTGTCCACTTACTCG